GTAGATAACACTGATCAGTCTCAAGGGGCAGCAAGCTAATTAGCTTAGATGCAGGAAAGTGGTTAATGGGGAAAAGAAAGATGCAGACAGGCCTGCACATCATTTCACTTTGAACTGAGTTAAATGAGATCAGTAATGTCTTAGGCCTCAGAGGCCGTCTCAGAAGTGCTTGTCATGGCCATGGGGATTGAGGGAGACGTGGAGAATTCAGCAAAGCCCTTACCTACCATCAGAGCTCAAGTCCCCGTGACAGTGGTCAGGTGGAGTCATCGTATAGTCCAGTTACTAGAACAAAAACAATCACAGAACTCAGTTTAGGAGTAAAGTTTGAGCTGTCAGTCTTAAAATATCTCTTTAGATGAAGTCAAGATATTATGGCAGAGTTGTGATGATTTCAGGCAATGAAAGATGAAAATGAAATATCCGAAGTTAATAAGATGCTCTGTAGTGACATACACATAAAAACATCCTTTCATATTCCTGTCTTTAATTGGGGAACTCAAAATACTGACGAATGAGCTGACACCAAACTCTCAAAGGTGATGACTAGAGAGATTGCTCATGTTATGCAAAGTGTTCAAAGCAGCACAGTCCATATCTAGCTTCCTTTGAAATTTGCAGCCCCAAAATTAACGTGTCTGATGATTTAAAGTAGGTGATAATTAATTCCATGTGTGGGTACTCCTAGATGAGGTTTTTTTTTTTTTTTTTGAACAAAAAAAAAAGAACTTACTTCTGAATGGGGGATATCTGCTCATGGCTTTGGGTGAATGCTATCCTCCTGCAAATATGAACCATGATGCCTGATTCACTCTGATGAGTCAATTCCTATGCATAGTGATCTCCACTGCGTTTCCCAGCCTGTAAATCTTTATGGAAGCAGATTGCCCCATCTTTCTTCCATGGAGAGGCTGGTGGGTTTGAACCATGGACGTTTTGGTTAGCAGGCAAATGCCTTAAGCACTACACCACCAAGGTATATTTTTGAAAGAGAACAGCTAGACAATATAGTTAACTAGCATTTGATCTCAGTGTTAAAATATGGTAACACTATGAGATTTTCTCCCGTTGGGTGTGTTTCTTTGAGGCTGACAGAAACTGAGACTTTGATGAATTTAGCTAAATTAGCCATTTATTTATGGCCAGAAAATAGAAGTTGGCTGTTTACATTAATCAAATAATGCAGAGATTTGCCAAATTTGCAGTTTCACTTCAATATTTATAAATTATCCTTCTTAGATTGTATCTTTTAAAAATCCAATTTAAGGCGGGCAAATTTGGCATGTAATTAACTTTATTAATTATCAGCATAAGGATAAATTATGACTCCTATTATTTTGTGTGGGAGCTCTGGGAGCATAGTGCCTAAGGCACTTGACTGCTAACCAGAAGGCTGGCAGTTCAAACCCACCAGCCACTCCTCGGAAGGAAGATGGAGCAATCTACTTCCGTAGTGAAACTGCCTCAGAAACCCAAGGAGGGGTCGCTATGAGTCAGGTCCGACTTGACGGCACATAACAACAACAACAACATTATTTTGTGTATTCACAGGCACCCAATATATTCTTCCTTTTCTCTGCTCTTTTTTCCTAACCGCTCTACTTGCCCCTAAGTTGTATCCCTAAACGCTCTCTGTTCTGGTCTCAGTTTTCCCTCTGCCAGCCTCTAAGAAACATGTCCAGCTAGATCTCAACTCTGGTCTTCACCTTCTCCACAAAATGCCCAACCTCTGTATTTTATGTTTCCCCCATTAACTTTAGAGGTTTGTAATTATTTTATTCTTTTATCTAAGCTATTTACTTAGCACTTAATCATGTACTTTCATGTGCAGTCTTTTTTAAAAAATAATCATATTGTTCAGGACCTGTTCTGATTACCTAGAGCTGCTCTGATAAAAATAAACCACAAACGGGATGGCCTTAACAAACAGGAGTTTATTCTTTTACAGTTTGGAGGCTTTACGTCCAAGTTCAAAGTGCCAGGTTCTAGGGACTGGGTGAAAGCCCCTCAACCTTGGGGTCCAGCTCTGCCTCCTGCTCCCAGCCCCTGGAGCTAGAGGCATTTCTTTACTCAGCTGCTGGTTGCTGAGGCTGAGAAGCCCCAAGGTTGATAAAAAGGGACAGTCCCGATGTTACCAAATCACATGGCAGGCCATTAACTTAAGTCCATTATAAGTCCCAAAGTTGGCAGAGCATGGCAGGCTGCTGAGCAATGACACAGCTATATGCAGCATCCAAGTGTGCCATAGACTGGAGACCATTCCCAAGGCTTCTGCTTATATATAGGAAGCAGACCACATCCCAAAGGCAGCTACCCAGCTGTTTGTGGTAGATCCCACCATGGAGTTGATTGCGAGTCTCATCCTGGGGAATAACTACCACCAGCTGCCCAGCCACTCAACCAGGCCCAGCCAAGTTGACACACAAACATAACTACCACAGGATTGTATATCACTTGGGCCAACTCCTAGGTAACAGAAACAAACAACAAAAAAAAACTCACTGCCATCGAGTTGATTCCGACTCATAGCGACTCCCTTTGGGTTTCTGAGGCAGTAAATCTTTACAGAAGTGGCTTGCCCAGGCTTCCTTCCATGGAGTGGCTGGTGGGTTTGAACTGCCAACTTGTGGTTAGCAGTCAAATGCCTTAGGTACTATGCCATCAGAACTCCTTGATAACAGAGGTCAAGTTCAATTTTGTTTGACTTCCTCAAAATAAACAGCATAATGCTCTGCCAGTGGTATCTACTACATAAAGCTTTGTTAAATAAGTAGGAATGGGAAGTTGAGACCTCATAATGGAAAAGACAATTCAGCATTAATCTGGTTGTTGAGAGAGAGTCACACTGATTCCCCATTCATTTTAATTCACTTGTCAGAGTTAGAAAAGATAAAAATGGCATTCTGAATGAGAAATCATACTATTTTTGTGAGATAATACTCAGATATAAACATAGAATAACAGGAAAACTATCCATCTAGTGAGTCTGACATTTGAATCTAGGACCTTTTTCTACTAGATTTTGAAGTTTCAGTCTAGGCAATTGATAGAGTCAAGGTATTTTAGTTTCAGGGTGAATGCATCTTTGAAGCAGTGCCTTAAGGTACTATGAAAACAATATGAAATTCACAATAGTTCTTTTCTCCTTTTCCCATGGTGTTTCGTTTTGTGTTTCTAAATTTTATTGTAGTTGGAGGTAAAAGTTTTGCAGAGCAAATTAGATTTCCATTCAGCATTTTATATATATTTTATTTTGTAACGTTGTTTGTAATCCCCTCAATGAACAGCACTCTTCCTGCTTCCTCCCTGAGTTCCCCATTTGCAATCATTCTTCTTCCTGCCCCCACCTGCCTTCCGAGCGTTGTTTTTGGGCAAATACTGCCCTTTTGGTCTTGTAAAGTTGATTATATTGAAAAGTACATTCCTCCGTGATGTTATTAATCACTTCGTAGGCCTATGTGGTGTTTGGCTGAAAGTTGATTCCCAAGGATGGGTTTATCTCCAGTGTTGAAGGTGTATAAAGGTCACAGTCTCAGAGTCTTTATCAGACCAGGAAGTCTGGTCTTTTGTAAGATTTTCTATTTTTGTTCTACATTTTTTTTTTCTCCCTCTCTGTCCAGGACTTTCTATTATAATCCTAATGAGAGCAGTTCTGGTCTCAGGGTCATGGAGGCTATGGTTCACGTGGGCCATTAGTCCTTTGGACTGATTGGTTCCTTGTGTCTGATTTCACGCTTCTTTGCTCTGGATGGAAAGAAACCAGTAGTTCCATCTTAGCTGGCTGCCCCCAAGCTTTTGAGACCCTAGTCGCTACTCACCAAAGTAGGATGTAGAGCATTGTCTTTGTGGCCTATGTTATGCCATTTAACCAAATGTCCCCTGAGACTGTAGTCCTAAATCCCCAAGCTGAGTGACTCATTCCCTCTCGAGTTTGGTCATGACTAAGAAGTTTTTGAACTTTGCCCCCGTGTGCTCTGTGATATACTTGGATATATTTGCAGTATATTACAAATATATATGTAGAAGTATCCTCTGTGAAACCTATATATACTCATTTTCACGTATTATTGAGTATTGTAATGAAAGAAGTCTTTGTATTCCCCTTTAATTTTCTTTATTTTCAAAATATTTAGCTCCCCAGTGAAAGAACAGTGACATTTACTTAAAACTTTGCTTTTAAATAGAATGTACACTAATGGCTAGAAGGTAAAAAATTTTAACTTCATTAGCAGACCAATTGACATTTTCTGTTACACCTGGATTTTTATTCAAATTTTTCATTCCATCTTGAAAGATATATATATGTATTTTTTTTTATTTTTAGTGTGGATGATTATATAACCTAGTGGTTAAAGCAGGGGCTTCTGTGTTCTCCAACACATATTTTGAACTCTTGCTCTGTTAAACTAAGGCTTAGTGTCCTTTTCAGTAAAATGGGATAATAGTGTCTACATAATTGAATTGAATGAGATAATCTATGTGAAGCACGAAGCATTAAGTATAGTGCTGACACACAGTGAACACACTAGCTAGTGTTATTTGTATTATTTGAGATTCTATTGTCTTCATATTTTATGTATTTTTTAACATCCATATCTAATCTTATAATCAATGTTTTTATCAGGAATGTGAAGTTCGGATTTTGTGAATCTGAATTAGTTCATCCTTTTTCCTTTATCTCTTGTCAAAAATTTTAGCTAGACTACAATATTTTTATTTTCATTAAAATAAATATTATTAATTATACATATTTTTTGATTTATTAAAAAGCAAAATAAAAATTGTAAATAACATTTTTATTACTATAAAATTAGTAAGTTCATTGAAGATTTATGAAATGCTGAAAGTATATAAAAAAGAAAAGTAGTATCTTCTGTAATCCCACTCTCAAATATAATCAATGTTAGCATTTCTGTGAAATCTCTTACAGTCAGAATGCCAAACATTCTGCAGGTCTTTTATTACTGATTTAGGGAGTGTTCTTATTTGTCTCATTCCAGGGATGTTCTTGGTCAGTTATATTTGTGGATCTGGATGCTCATAATCGCAACAGACAAACTTTGTGCTCTTTGTTACCTAGAGAATCAAGATCTCATGTAAGATATTTTTATAATTAATATGAACTATCACATAAAATTTTTATGTAATTTTGCTTTTTTTTTTCAAGACAGTGCTCTAAAATGGTACAATGGTAAAAGATTAGAAGAATATTGTTCATTATTTGTATTTCTTTTGGGTAAAATTCCTTTTGTTTCCTGTTTCTTCTCTGTCATTTGATTAACTTTGTCTAATAAACTTTACTATTTATCCATTATTCAACCATTCAAATATAGTCTTAGGGTGATAACATTTGAGTATATATGTTTCCACATACTTTATGCACATATATAGTATTTTTATTTTGTGAAGTGGAATCATATTGTTCACAATATATGATAACCTAATTCTGTTGATGAGCAAAATATCATGGACATGATTCCATATGACTAAGCATATTCCTACATATAAGTTTTAATGACTGCTCATTTGTTCAACAGTTGCTGCATATTTAGATTGTGTTCTGTTTTTCACAATATAAACAAGTAAATTGTTATAACAAAGGAAATTGTGATGCCTGATTATTGGTGTTCAATTTTTATACACTGCCTTAATTAATATTTTAAGATTTGAGTCCAGTGTTGAACCTTGAAAGTACTCTTTATTAATGAATAAACTTTATCTCCTTTGTAAAGTTCACTAAAGCTGCTGTATTAACGTATACATGTCCCTTGCAGCAAAGCTATTGGATAACTTAATTGACCTTTCATCCCTGTATGTCTTCTTGGACTGTCTTGACTGTGTCGCTGCTGCCGCTCACTTTCTGCTCTTTCTAACGGCTCCAGAACACAGACGCCGCCCTGCTCCCCTGCATCAGCTATCCTGCATTTGCCCTGGATGATGAAGTTCTGTTTAACCAGACACTTGATAAAGTGGTTAGAAAGTTAAAAGGAAAATATGGATTTAAGCGTTTCTTGAGAGATGGCTATAGAACATCATTGGAAGATCCCAACAGACGCTACTACAAACCAGCAGAAATTAAGGTATCACGAACTCTCCCACAATAGCAGCACAGCGCATATTCAGGAGGCAGACTTCTTGGGTTTGAATTCTGGCTCAACATTTGCTAGCCACAAGGCCATTGGAATATTAAACACTCTCTGTTTAATATTCTTTCTTGGTAAAATAATACCAGTCTCCTGAGATTATTCTGAGAATTAAATGAGTAAATATACATAAAACTGCTGAGAATAGTGCTTGGCACATAGTAAGTTCTCAATAAGTGTTACTTCGGATTCTTATCAGTGAGACCCATTTGCTCATTGGGTGTGTAATTTTTCTATTGCATTTTCAGTTCTCTGCCTGCCTGCTTCATACTGTTTATCTTATATAATAGCAATTATTTATTTGTCATCCAGCTTTCAATCTATTAAGCAAATCTCTTATTGAAACTGCCAGTCCTTCCCTTTTGTGTTTTTCTGTTCCATTTTGAAACTTCCCTTGGAAATAATAGCCTTTTAAATATTTAGTTTTAAAATACTATTTCAAATGTATAAACCTACACTACCATATCCAAGTTTATACTAGCTGTTTTTAAGCCTTCCAGAAAGCTGTAACTCCCACCACACTCTTCCTGCCCCCAAAAAATGTAAGCATCCGTGCACATTGCTGAAGAATTTGCTTTAGTGGGACAGATTGAAAATATTTATGTAAGCATGGTTTTAACTTTGACTCAGTCAATGAGGATAGGTCAGTCTCTGCATAAAAAAAATGTTGAGGTAACATTGTACCTTGTAATTTGTTTGTCAATTAACATACCACTCTTAAATTTCACATAAGCTTAAGTTTTTCAAGACTACCAGATAAGCTGTGGATTATTTTATTTAATTTCATAGTTGACTACTATTTGGGAGTGTTGAGAACTATTTCATTGTGTATGTTTTTGAGATTTTACAGCTGTCTGTTAGATTGAGCCTAGAAGTCCATTTATATCTTAAACATCTTTTTTTAAATTTATTTTTATTGTAATTTTGGTGAAAGTTTACAGAGCAAATTCATTTTCCATACAGAAGTTCATGTGTACTTTGTCTTATGACATTGACTGTAATTTCCCACAATGCAGCAGCTCTCCTCCCTGTTCCTCCCAATACTTACCTCTTCTCTGTGTCCTTCTCTCCTGCACTCCTGCCTCACAAGCTGTCTCCCTGGACATACACAGCCCTTCTGTTCTCCCATGATTGATCTCTCCAAAGAGTGTATCTTCCTAATGTAAATGTTCAGTTTATAGTCCTGTCTTTTGTTTTATCTCTTAAACATCTTTAGATGTTTCTCTTCTATTTAGTACATTTCTTGCACTGATTTACAGCACTTACATTTTAATTAGACTTCCTGCATACTTGAACTTGAACCAGCAGACCTTCTCTATTTCTGCACTTCTTGCTCAGCATCACCAAGGAAAGGCAGATAGTATGAATAGGTGCCACCTCAATTTCAGGACATCCATCTCGGCACATAACAACAATGGCAACATCTTGGTTCAGTCCTCCTCATGACTTTCATTGCTTGTCAGTCCTCCTGTGTGACCCTCTTGAAAGCTTTTCTAGCTTTTTCCTTATAGACCAGGAGGCTGTCGTTCAAACAGAACAAAAGGATACCGCATGGTTTAAAATCAGGAAGGAAGTGCATCAGGGTTGTATCCTTTCACCATACTTATTCAATCCATATGCTGAACAAATAATCTGAGAAGCTGGACTATATGAAGAAGAACATGGCATCAGGATAGGAGGAAGACTCATTAACCACCTGCGATATGCAGATGACACAACTTTGCTTGCTGAAAGTGAAGATGACTTTAAACACTTACTGATGAATATTAAAGACTACAGGCTGCAGTATGGATTACATCTGAACAGAAAGAAAGCAAAAATCCTCACAACTGGACTGATAAGCAGCATCACAATAAATGGAGAAAAGATTGCAGTTGTTAAAGATTTCATATTACTTGGTTCCACAATCAACACCAATGGAAGCAGTAGTTAAGACAACAGATGATGTATTGCACTGGGCAAATCTGCTGCAGAAGACCTCTTTAAAGTCCTGAAGAACAAAGATGTCTCCTTGAAGACTAAGGTGTGCCTAACCCAAGCCATGGTATTTTCAGTCACCTCAAATGCATGTGAGAGCTGGACAGTGAACAAGGAAGACTGAAGAACAGTTGATGCTTTTGAGCTGTGGTGTTGGTGAAGAATGCTGAAAGTACCATGGACTGCCAAAAGAATGAACAAATCTGTCCTAGAGTGCAGCCAGAATGCTTCTTAGAAGCGAGAATGGCCAGACTTCGTCTCACCTACTTTGGTCATGTTGTCAGAAGGGACCATTCCCTGGAGAAGGATATCATGCTTGGTAAAGTAGAGGGTCAGTGAAAAAGGAGAAGGCCTTCAACACAGTAGTTGCAACAGTGGACTCAGGTATAGCAAGGATTGTGAGGCTGGCACAGGATCGGGCAGTGTTTCATTCTGTCATACATAGGGTCGCTATGAGTCGGAGCTGACTCGACGGCACCTAACAACAACAACAACATAATGTTCCTAGACCTTGCTTCTTACTTCCTGCTTGCCAGGTTTTCATTTCTGTGTGGTCTTCCCACTGCATCTCTCCTCATCCATGCTTACCTCCATCTCTCTTGTCTCATGGAAGGTGCTTGTTTTTCCTTCTAAGGCTAACCTTCCATCCGTGCATCACATTATGTTCTCTTGTCCTTCCTTGAGATTCCTCTATATCATTTGCTTTCTTGTCTAATACAACAATGTTCATCTCCATCTTTCTCTTTGTTTTCTCTTTATCTCCACTCCACATTCCTTCTATTTTGCTCCTCCAGTTCACAAGAACTTCTTTTCCTCAGCATAAACATTTTGACCATCCTCCTTAAATAAGCAAACAAAAAGTTCTCCCTTTACCATCATCCCTATCTTCATCCTGTCCTCCCTGTGTTCACAGCCACATTCTGAGAAGAATGGCCTGTACGTGGTTTCTTTCTTTGTTTACGTTTTACCCACTCACTTTTCCCCCTTTTAACCTAGCTTCTTGCCCCTAGCATTCCTCAGTAGCTGTGCTGGCTTCAGTCAGTTTAGATTACTGGAGCATAATGGAGGCTTTCCTGACCTGGTTTCACTGAACCTCTTTTCAGTGTCTGAATGTTTTGACTGAGTCCTTTTTCTTGGTTATTTTCCATTTGTTGTGATTGCACTCTCTTCCTACTTCTGTGATTATTTACTCACTGACTTCTTAGCCTTCTTTGCAGGAGTCTAAGCCTCAATCCTGATAGTCAGCCATTCTAGGCTCTTCCTTGTCACTTACCCTTTTTATCAATCACCAACTCTGGCAAATACAGCCAAAATCTTATAAATCTGTTCTTTTCTGTTATTACTCCTTGGTTAGGGATGGTGGTTCATAACCAGAAGTGATTTTGCCCCTCATGGAAAATTTGGCAATGTCTGGAGACATTTTCATTGTCACAACTTGGTGGGTGGTACTGACATATAGAGGTTAGAACCCAGAGATATTGCTAAACATCCTACAATGCACAGGGCAGCCCCCCTTCCCACAGCAAAGAATTATTTGACCCAAATATTAATAGTGCAAAAGTTGAAAGCCTGTTTAGACTATTATTATTTCTCTTTCAGTTGCTCCAGCAATCTTCCATCTGGTCTGATTTCTTGTCCTACAATTCTCATCAATTCTGTAACTGCTCAACCTAGCAAGTAAATCTAATATATGTCTAATTCTGCTCAATATTCACCATTGGTTCCCTGTAGTTTACAGATCAAAGTCTCAGTCTCTTAGCATGACTTTCCAAACCCTTCCTGGTCTGACTGGCCTGGCCCACCTGATGGACTTCAGCTTTCACTACTATCTCCTTGCTTGTTCCAGAAACACTGAACTTGAACATACTTTATGCTTCCACGAATCTATGGTTTGCACTTTTTGTTTTCTCTGCCTGAAGTTTCCTTAGTTCACCTTTTCAGTCGAAACCCATTCATCATCAGGCAAAGCATCTCCTTCCCTGTAAGCCCTGCCCTGACCTTTTAGGGAGATCCAGGTGGTTCGTTGCCTGTGTTCCTGCAATACCATGTATAGATATTTCTCAATGGACTGCAGTTGTTTATTTACAACTGCCTCCCCACTAGCTGTGAGAACATGAGAGAATGTACTCTATCTTTTTATCTAATTGGTATCATTAATTAGTACTTAGCAGATGTTTATTGATTGAATGACTATTGTTTGATAGATTGAACAAATGAACGCTTGAATAATGAGAATCTTGAATTTAAAAAAGAAGAGTGAAATGACATATATCCTAACTATAACTGTTCTACTTGTTTGTGAAAGATTTCATTTTAGTGCTGGTTTTATTTTCTATTTCAGCTATTTGATGGCATTGAATGTGAATTTCCCATATTTTTCCTTTACATGATGATTGATGGTAAGTGAGCTTTGTTTCTGAAATTTAAACTATAGGATATATGTTGTTTAAAGAAAAGCAGAAAAGAAATATGACTCCTTTTACCCACAAAATAAACTGCACTCAGTGCTGTTAACTGCTCTGCATTTTTATATGTTAGCCGTCTATTCTCTGAGTGGAGGTTAAATAATTTGAAGAATTAAAAATATACTTTGAAGCATTTACAAAATGATAGTAATCTATTATTCATATTTATAAAGCAGAATTTTTATTAATAGAAATCATGCATATTATAATCTGTGACATGGATATTTTTAATACTTAGAGAATTTCAAATAATAAAAATTTAATTTTCAATTTTAAATTCTAGCATGACCTTCAAAAATCAATTTTTTAAGTATACATATTTGCAGTACTTTTTTTTCCAGTTTTAATGTGATCATTTACATAGAAAATTGCTGAGATAGTCATAAATGAGCTAATGGATATTTTTAAGGCAAAATTTCTGTGATGCTTACTGAGTTTAACTGCTGTTGGATTTTATGTTTTAGGAGTTTTTAGGAACAATCCCCAACAAGTAAAGGAATATCGGGAACTTCTGACTCCAGTACTTCATCATACCACAGAAGGTATAGTTGGATTGTCTTTTCAAGAAGTTTTTCTTCCAAGATTTCCTTGAAGTTCCTTTAAAATATATAAATGATTCCTTTATAAAGCATAGCAGTTTATAATAAATTGAAAAAATGAATGGGACATCAAATAAAATTAGAAAAAAAGATCTCTATTAATTTGTTATAATACTTTGTTGTTATAAGAGGACTTCATTAGGTAGTCATGGCTATAATGCTTCCAGTGTAATTTGCCAGGTGGTCAGAGGTTCTTTGTCAGTTACTTACCTCACCCCACTTAATTTGACAGTAATATAAAGTGACTGATGTTATCCAGGTCACCCAGTATGTTATGCTCTGGTAAGCACTGCTGTTTCCAGAGGGCCTCTCAGAGAGGCTCTGTCCCAGTCTAAATGGTCTGGGAACATCTTGGCCTCCTCTTTGGAGTTACTTCTAAAACGCTTAGCATGTTATTTGGATGCTCAAATGTCGTTTTAGGGGATGGAGTTTATGTTTTAGAAATGGTCAAAAGGCCCAGTCTTACAAGTAAGGGTATATTTGTTTTGGTCAAAGATCAGTAGAAGCTTTAAGGAACATAACCAATTTTTCAGTAATACTGGAATTCTGATTCTCAAAGCAATTGCCAGGAAGAAGCTTCAGATATCTTTTGGAGTTTGGAAGTAATAATGGAGTAAGGATAGAGTCTCGTGAGTGAACATCTTTTAAAACATATTTATCTGGAAGTTATAAAGTACAGTAGGTGACTTAGCCTAATGTCCTCTGTGTTCATCCATGTTATGAGGTGTTTCTCAGATTCATCATTACTCTTTAACATTGGGTTGTATTGATTGTGTGTGTTTCCCATAGTTTGTTTATCCATCCATCTGTTGATGGACACCTAGGTTGTTTCCATCTTTTTGCGTTGTGAATAATGCTGCGATTCCGTGGGTGTGCATATATCCGTTCATGTCAGGGCTCTTATTTCTCTAGGATATATATCTCGTAGTGAGATTGCTGGGTCATAGGATATTTCAAATTCCAACCTCCTCCCCCCACCCCCCAGTTCCTAACTTGAAAGGTGTCTAAGGGCCATAGTCTTGGGGATCTCATCAGTCTTCATGGAACCAATAAACCTAGTCTTTTTTATGATTTTGACTTTTGCTGCACATTTCTCTCCACTCTATCTGGGACTTCTATAGTGATCCCTTTGAAAGTAGTCAGCAATGGTAGCCAGTTACCATTTACTTCTTCTGGTCTCAGGGTCATGGAAGCTGGGATTCATGTGGACCATTAGTCCTTTGGGCTAATTATTTCCTTGTGTTTTTGATTTTCTTCACTCTTCTTTGCTCCAGATGGGGAGAGACCATTTGTTGCACCTTAGATGGCCACTTACAAGCTCTTAAGACCCCAGTCACTACTCACTGAAGTAGGATATATAACGTTGTCTTTGTGGACTACATTATGCCAGTTGACCTTAGTGTGCCCCAAAACTATGGTCCTGAGCCACCATGCTCAGCAAATCATTCCTTCGAGGGAATGATTACTAAGACGTTTTCATAACTTTGCCCCCTGTATGCTCTACTACATTCACAGACATATTTGCAGCACATATAAGTACATATATAGAAATATCTCTGTCAAACCTGTTATTCACGGGTGTAGTCCCCTTCCCCTTCCTACTGCACTTTAGATTATCTATCAGAGTATCCCCTTGCAGGTTATTTTTATTCGTGTTATTGCAAGATTGTGTGCTTAGAAGTATTCACCGCTGTTGCCTTTAACTCGCGTGCTCCTCCCTGTGTCTTTGTTGCCTTGACCCTTTTGTGCTGACCCCCTCCCCCATTACATATTGCATTTCCCTTCAGCCAAGTTAATATGTGTCTATCCTCTAGTTGGTGATTTTCCTTCCTGAAAGTTTGTGCTTTTCTTCTTTTTCATTTTGGGGTGAAGGTTTATTAATTTTCTTTGAGGTTACCCTGTAATTTATTATTATCTTCCCAAGTTTCAAGCAGTCCGTTCTGTCTTGATATCGTCTTGACTTCCTCTTCATTTGGAAGTTCTGTAGCTGTATCACTTACTCCTATTTTGGCTGTGTATTTATCATCATTTACAAATTGGCATTTCTGTTTCCTGTTTTCCATCTTGTGGGTTTGTTTTATTTTTGATACTTCTGAACCTGAGTTGATTTCCAGATGATGTTGCTGTATGTCTTAATCTCTGCTTGTTGTCTACATTGGTAGTTCTTTGTCCAGAGGGCTGCTCTTAGCATTTCTAATAAGGTTGGTCTCGTTTTTGCAAATTCTCTATTTGTTAGATATGTAATTCTTAGTTAGCAGTTTTTCTTTTCTTTTCTTTCAGCATTTTATATATGTCATTCCTTTGCCTTCTTGTTTGCATGGATTCTGGCAAGAAATCAGAACTTAGTCTTTTCGTTTTACCCAAGCTGCTTTCAGCATTCTTTCTTTGTCTTTGATTTTGGACCGTTTGATGATGGTGTGTTTTGGTGATTTTCTTTTGGGATCTATCCTATTCGGAGTTCTTTGAGCATCTTCAACGTATATCTGTTTGTCTTTCATAATATTAGAGAAATGTTTTTCTGAAAATTTTTGAGAATTTTCTCAGTGCTTTTTTTTTTCCCCCTCTTACTGTTCTGGAAACTTGATGACACCCAGCAACAACAACAATATGTTTATGTGAGAATCTAGTTATTGGTTGATTGGTTGAAATCTAGACATGATGCAGTTCTTTAATCAGGTCCTAATTTGAAATATATGATGACCAAAGATTGTGTTGATAGTGCCAAAATACAGGATTCCTAGGGCTGTCATAATGAATTAGAATAAATGTGATGGCTTAAAACAACAAATTTATTTTTTCACAGTTCTGGAGGTCAGAAATCCAAAATCAAGGTGAGAGTAGGATTAGTTCTGGAGGCTCAGGAAGAAATCCATTCCATGCTTCTCTTCTAGCTTCTGGTAGCTCTTGGCAGTCCTTGGCTTTCCTTGGCTTGTAGATATATCACTTCCATCTCTGCCTCTGTCTTCATCCTTTCCCTCTGGATTCCTGTGTTTTCTCTTCTCTCTTGTAAGTCCAGTGTCCTCAGATATAGGGCCTGTCCTCATCTAGTATGATCTCATATTGAGATCCCTAATTACATCTACAAAGACCCTTAAGGCCACATTCACAAATAGCAGGTGGACATATCTTTTTGTAGAACACTATTCAACCCATTGGGAGCTCTGGTAGCATAGTGCCTAAGGCACTTGACTACTAACCAGAAGGATGATAGTTCAAACCCACTAGCCACTCCTCAGAAGGAAGATGGGACAATCTACTTCCATAGTGATACTGCCTCAGAAACCCAAGGAGGGGTCGCTATGAGTTAGGTCCAACTCGACAGCACATAACAACAACAACAACAACACTGTTCTGGAATTCCAGTCACGTGTAAATTATTCCTTTTGATGGTGTTCCAAACGAATCTTAAACTTTTTTCTTATTATTTGTTTTTTTTTTTCATTCTTGTTTCTGATTTTTCTCCAACAGATAGTGATTGAGTGATTTGTCTTCAATCTTGCTAATTCTGCATTCCATTGATTCAGTTCTACTCCTTTGTCCTTCCAGTGTATTATCCACTTCTGAAATTTTAATATTAATCTTCTGGATTTCTATTTGATGTTTTTGTAGAGTTTCTAATTTTCAGTTTATTTTGTCAATTATTTGTTCTTGTCTTTAAAAAAAAAAATTCTAGAGTTTTTTCTGTGTTTTCCTTGATTTGTCTGTGCTTTCCTCAGACTCTCTCTCAATCAGATAGTTCCACTGTCATTTTTCCCTCTGGAAGATTTTCTGCCCCTGTACTTTGGTCACTTGTTTAAGGCATCTTGTCCTGTTTGTGTGTGTGTGTATGTAATTTGAAGTTGTCTATTGTCTCCAAGATATTTTAGTGTTATTGTATTAATTTATTGATATGTTTTTTCACTTCAATCTTATTTTTTATTTTTTTCTGTTTTAATATAGCCAAGCAATACAGCAGTTGTATTACTCTAGTCACTAGCTGAGGTGAGGGCAGGCTGGGTAGGTGTTGGCCACTGTGTCATCCATCAAGTAGTGCTTGAACAGGTTGAGGCACTCGCCCAGAGGCTTGGGCAGCAGATGTGTATGGGTATGTTTGGGTAGGGTCACTGGCTTCTAATGCTGGGTCAAGATAGAATGGAAAAGGGGAGTTACGTGAAGGGGGGGGGATGAAAGGAAAAAGACAAAAAGGGGGAAGGAAGAAGGTACACCTCAGAAGAGAGAAAAAAGAAGAAGAACAAATAAACACCAACAAAAATAAAATAAGAAGCTGCTGAAATCCCCAAGACTATGGCCCGTAGACAGCCTTCAGGCCTCGAGCCAAACTCACCCCCATGCTCAACTTTAAGCCAAATAAGAAGGCCTGTAAGGTGAGCAGTAACACCAAGGAGGTGGAAGTGCTGCATTTGCCTAGGGATAAATCTCAGAAGGCAATAAGTGATAAGAAAGAAGGATAGATGGAAACAGTGAACTGAAGGAGAATGTGGGAAGAGTGCTGTTACATTGTGGGAACTGAGATCAGTGTCACAAATCAAACTACGTGTGAATTGAATGTAAAACTAATTTGCTTTGTAAACTTTCTCTCAAACTACAATAAAAAGCGAAAAAAAATGATAGGGTATCAGTGTCTTAGGTTAGGTTCTCTAGAGGAGCAAAACCAGTGATGTGTGTGTAGAGAGAGAGGGAGAAAGATGATTGATTGATTTTAAGGAAATGAGTCACACAGTTGTGGAGGCATGGCAAGTCCCAAATCCATGAGTCAGGCATCAGGCTGGAGGCTTCCTCTGACTCACATGGTCCCAGGGACGGTTGTACCCAAAATCAACAGGTCAGATGGCAGGCTGCCGGTTCACGGTGCTGCGGGAAGTGATGAATACCAAAATTGGCATGTCACGGGGCAGGCATGGACTAGAGATCTGCTAATGATGAGTTGGGTGTAGAATCGAGAGGAGAGTGAGTTTGCCAGAACATCCATATATATTGGATGCAGGCCACACCCCCAAGGAAATCCCCCTTACATCAGATCACAAAATGGAGAATAATTACAGAATACTGAGAATCATGGCCTCGCCAACTTGACACATAATATTAATCATTACAGTTGATCAGAAATGGGTTGCCTTATGGGTACATGCACAAACTGTTAGTCACATCACTAAGCCCCATTCCTTTCTTACATGAATTTTGTGACACTCTTCTGGTTTTCCATAAATATCTGTGAGAAAATACTTTGTATTACATGCTCACCTTTTAAAATACTTTTAAATGTTAAAGTTATGAAGTGCCTCTGGGTAAATACTGGATCACAAATAAATAATAATTAAAAACAATTATTTATGTTTCATGATCCAAATCACTTACCTAATATAAGAAAAAATGTATTGAATTTTGTAATGAGTGTCATATTTGAAATTCTTTGAATCAGATATTTTAGTATTCAAGGAAGGTCATTGATATATTGAGATGGTAGTTTAGTGTACCATACTTCAGGCTTCATCATGGTCACAGAATGAAGTACATATTATTCTTAAATGTTTTTAGTAGTTTTAAGCACCAAGTCTCACTATCAATTGGTACATGAAGGAAAAAGTGAAATTGATAGAAACCTATGTAATTTTATTGTTGTTGTTATGTGCCATCTAGTTGGGCCCGACTCATAGCAACTCCTCCTTGGGTTTCTGAGGTGGTATCACTACAGAAGTAGATTGTGCCATCTTCCTTCCAAGGAGTGGCTAGTGGATTTGAACCACCAGCCTTCTAGTTAGCAGTCACATGCCTTAAATACTACACTACCAGAGCTCCCTGTAATTTTATTAGGAAAATTAAATTTACTGTGGGCTGATGATGTAAATAATGCCTAAGGCATTTGACTGCTAACCAGAAGGCTGGCAGTTCAGACCCACCAACCACTCCTTGGAAGGAAGAGTGAGCAATCTACTTCTGTAGTGATATCACCTTGGAAACCGAAGGAGGGGTCACTGTGGGTTGGAACTGACTCAGCAGCAGTGAGTTTGGTTTTTTGATGGTGCAAAATACCTTTTGTAGCATCCTACCAGAATATTCATCTTTATGTCATACAGAAAAATCTTACTCTTTAAATACTATTTTTCAGTTTACATCAAGGAATATTATTAAATGGGTTGGTCAAAAGGAGCCCATGTGATGCAGTAGTTAGGTGCTCAGCTGCTACTAAAAAAGTCAGTGGTTCTAATCCTTTAGCTGCTCTGCAAGAAAAAGATGTGGCGTTCTGCTTCCATAAAGATTACAGCCTTGGACCCTTGTGTGGCAGTTCTCCTATGTCCTATAGGATCACTATCAGTCAGAATCGGCTCAAGGCAATGAGTTTAATGGGGATCACAGGAGAAGAAGGATTTTTATTTTTTTTCAATGATATTGAATGGTAGATAATGGACTTAATGTCTAAATGGGGATTTCTTTGCTCTAAGCGATGGTTCAGGGTTGTAATTCTTCATTTAAGATTATACAATATCTCATCTGTGAAGCTTCCATAGACTAATCCTATTAAAAATGCCTTCTATTGCTCTAAATATTTGTGTACTGTATATTTGTGGATTCATTTAAAGATGTTAAAATTAAATGTTGTTAAAGGAGATTATGTACACATTGTTGGCTAAAGCATAATGTATGCTGTCGAATTAGTGTCTTAATGTCAAGAAGCTTTTCTCATGTGTTTCATTGGCAACTTCTAACAGGAGCTAGAATATCCAATGTTCTATACATAGCCTTTCAAATCTGTTACTTCCTTACAACCTTTCTCTCTCCTTGCTTTCTAAACATGGAAATTTCTTGAAGTGAAAGTTGGGGGTAGGCACGGATTTGTTCCATTTTAAATATATATTTTTTAAACTCCACAGGATATCCTGTCGTGCCAAAGTACTATTATGTGCCAGCCGACTTTGTAGAACTTGAAAAAAGAAATCCTGGTAGTCAAAAGCGATTTCCTAGCAACTGTGGCCGTGATGGAAAACTGTTTCTTTGGGGACAAGCCCTTTATATCATTGCAAATCTCCTGGGTAAGTGGAGAAGATTGAGAATTATTATTATTATTATTATCATCATCATCATCATCATCATCATCATCTAGCATATTATTAGGTTGGGTTGCTTTTCAAGCTGTTCAGAGGTCTTTGGGTAGTTTCTTAGCATGTAAAGATATGTTAATATGTCTGTTTCACTGAGTGATAATGGACAGTTTTGGGGAAGAAAGTCTAAGTGTCGGTACCATTATGATTATTTTAGGGACTGATTTAGCTCTGTGGATAGGCTTCTAACATAAGACTATGGGAACTTTGAGTTATTTTCATATGGTGTAATAAAATTTTGATTTCATAAAACAGTCATGCTTGGTCATTGCTTTAGTAAGCCACTTTCCAAAAGGAATTGGTTATCTGAAAGTTCGCTTCTTTCCATTAAGTACACATTGGCAGTTTTCTCAGTTAGCTAGAGGCTTAATGGGGCCATTATTCATAATTCTCTGAAGAATTGTTTTTCAGCTTCTTCTACAACTTCAGCTGAATCAGAGAACTCCTGACACATTGAAATGAAGGGTAATTTAATGAATACAGGAAGCAGTATGCATCTTCCTGCATCATTCCTTATTAAAATTTTAAATATTCTTAACTTTTCCCTCAAAAGGACTATGATTTTAGAGTCTGAATTCCTTTATACCAAACAGATTATGAACCAGGTAATTGTGAATGCTGTAACTGAACTACAAGAACTGCTGCTACGTGGAATGCTATTCTTGTCTTTGTTGTTTCTAGCATTACTGCAGAAACACTAGACTTGTTTGTACTGTAGGAGTAATCAGCTTTAGATATTTTAATTTTTGTTTTTACTTTTTTTTTAACATTGCACTAGAAAAGTGTATTTCAAAGGCTAGATTTCCAATTCAGTGATATAGAAGATTGGCAGAAACTAACCAAAGCATAGACAATTAAGAACGTGTAAATCTACCTGTCCTGCCTCTATGCCGTCTTCCTTTTCCAAGGTTACTACTGAGCTCAGTCCATCCACTTGTGCTCTGTATCCCCATCCTGCCTTCTTACTAGCCATCCATCACCATTAACTTCCCCTTTGGACATGGGTCAGTTGGCCAAATGCTTTTTTCAGCCTACCTTATTCCTGACTGTAGTTAGTCTCTGTGCTTACTTAATACTAATTTAAGGACTTGGAGAAAACTTTTCTTCCTTAAAGGAACAACTTTTTGACAAGCAGTTGATATTATCTGTATTTGTTTTGCCTGTGATTTTTCCAAAGGGAGACACTGTACCCATGAAGTCGTTTGTTTCAATCAAGCCAAGTTAGATTGTCTCGGGTATTATTATATGAATACAAAGAAACTGTTGATATCCACTGCTAAATAAAAACATATTTTAGTAGGGGAGTAGTTAACCTATGTAAAGGCAAGAATTTTAATGTTAGAATTACAAGTTTCTAAAGCCACCAGCCACTTCCCGGCAGGAAGGTTGGGCAATTTTCTTCTGTAGTGATACCGCCTCGGTAACCCAAGGAGGGGTCACTTTGAGTTGATTCTGACTTGACAGCAGTGAGTTTGGTAGTTTTGGTTTGGTATATACTTTTTAGTTGGAAAATAAAAATAACTATAATGAAATTTTTCTTTGGTCTGACACTGAAAACTGGTCCTTAGGATCTGGGATTTGAGGTCTACACCTTCTTCATCCTGTTTTTTGCTCTATCTCCAGAGTGGGGCTGGCAGAATTAGAAAGAGTAAAGTTTGAATACAGCCTCTGGATAAAACTGCAGGGCTTATGCAAAAGTGACTACACCCTACATAAGCAAATTTTTAAAAAAGAAAAAGATCGAGAACGATATCTATCAGTAAAGTATTGGGCCTGCCTTACTCCAAAATAAATTAGCAGGACTTGAATGACCTGCTAAAAGATGGGATTTTCTTACGTCAGCGCCAGAGTGAGTAGAAAACAGTCCGGGTCATGCGTCCACCGCGGTTTCATGACTGAAGAGAAGAGATGCTGCAGGGCTGGCCTGAAAAAACAGAATCTTTTTTTTTTTTCTTTTCCCTGATGTGTATCTACAAAGGCAGTAAAGAACATGCAGAAGATGCATTGGAATTGATGAAACCACAAAGTTATGTCCTGCTGTAAAAAGGTGCTACATATTCATTAGCACCTGGCCTAGCTTTGTGTCATCTGGTTCACAGCTCACAGGTTAAGATGAATGAGATCTCAGAGGAGTGAGTCACTTAGTTCTCCTTCACTATTACATACACGTTCCCCCAAGAACCATCAACTTCTGTGAATTTTTAGTAAGGTTCCAGACACCACATTTACCAACAAAATTTTATTTAAACTCGTTAAAGGAGCCTCAGGTGAATATCTACTTGACAACATTTTATGGGCAGTTAATTGAAGTTGTTATTTTTACATGAAGGTAATAGAATTGTGAATCTTTAAAAATATTCTTTAATATATGACTTTTGCTAATTCAGGTCGGTTTGTATCCCAGTGAAATCCAGTAAGGATATTTTGCTTTCTATATGCCTTACTAAATAATTATTGAGTCGGATCCAACACACAGCGACCCCTCCTTGGATTTCCGAGGTGGTATCACTGTGGAAGTACATTGCCCAACCTTCCTTCCGAGGAGGGGCTAGTGTGTTTAAACCACCAGCCTTCTGGTTAGCAGAGTAAATAATTATGCACCAAAACTATATGACTTCTATTCCTTTGTTATCATTATGCTGTTTACTGGCTAAGGCCTGAACCCTCCACTGTGTTCTTTAGAAATAGCAAATTATTTACAGTAATTCCTTTTTCTTTCTTTAGAAATATTATACTTTTAGCAATCAAATGTTTGCTCTGTAAAATAGATAACTATTATAAATATGTTGGTTTTAAATCAGATAAGACACATTTTAAGATATATTTGACTCATCTTAGAATGGAATGGTCATTAGTTATACCTTCAGGTATTATTTGAATTTGAAAGTTTAGGAATTACTTATATAAGAAATAACTGTAGTCGATGACGTGAGACAAAGTATATGTGAACTGCTGTATGGAAAGTGAATTTGCTCTGTAAATCTTTACCCAAATCACAATAAAAAAATAATAATAATAATAAAAGAACTACTTAAATAAGAAATAGTATATAGAATGCAGTATATCTTTTAGAGCACTTTGCAAAAATAAATAACCTTTTAAATATTTATCATATAAAAACTCGCTTGCAAATCATGAACTTTGATTTATTTATTTTTTATTTTGAGGTTCGACAAGCTAGAGAAGCATAAGGTAACATGAGATCAATTATAACTTTACATTAAAACTTCCCCAAACCCATTACTTAGATTTAATATCTTTTCTTATCCCATCTTTACAAACAAGAGAAACTAACACATTAGTTTTCAAGCCTAGAAAACAATCTGAATTCTAGATTTCACCTTGCCATTTCAGTATATATACAAGTAACATTCCTTACCCTGTACATCAGATGTTCACAGTAATGGCATTCATTCAAGTATTATAATATCCTCAATCATTAAAGATTAGAGACTTACATACCATATAACTTAAACCAGGTAAGTAAAAGAATTTTTTAGGACCAATATTTTGAAAGCTTATTAATAAATAACAAAGGTTAAGACAAAACATGTTCTTTGATTAAAATTGAATTATTGAGTGATTTTAATTAACTTCAACTTTCTTTCTAATATGTGCAGACTCCCCGAATATTCAAGTGAATAAAATGTTACTGAAATATATATCATGAGGGAATTTTTTTTCATTTGGGGATGGCTATTACTTAATATCCTTAGAGTGTTAGTTAGAGACTTCTGAAGTGATAAAATATAGAAGTACTTGACACATCCAAAGTTTTATATACATATGAAATGCACAATGAACAAATCTGTGTTGGAAGATGTACAGCAGGAATGCTCCTTAGAAGCCAGGATGGCCAGTCTTTGTCTCTGGCACTTTGGTGGTGTTATCAGAAGGGAACGGCCCCTGGAGGGGGATATCATTTTGGTGAAGTAGAGGAGCAGTGAAAAGGGGAAGCTCCTCAGTGAGGTGGATTGACACAGTGGCTACAACAGTGGGTTCAAGTGCAGCAGCGACTGGGAGGATGACGCAGGCTGGGGCAGTGTTTGCTTCTGTTGTACATTGGGTTGCCGTGAGTTGAAACTGACTTGACAACACCTAACAACAGCAACAAAACTATTTTTTAAGTCATCGTTTGGAAGCCAGTATAGTTCCCTATAGAATGGGTAGTTTAAATGATTATTACCATGCAGCAAACTTGTGAACATTTGATATAGATTCTTTCTTTGATACTATAATCTTTTTCCTCTGCTCTCATGCCCACGTTTTTCCTCTTTGTTTGATTTACTCGTCATAGTTTTTGTACTGTAATGGAAAGATCAAGGATTTGGGGGCCATGAGTTGGGGAACTTGAAAACTGAGGATTTGAATACAAGTTCTACCACTTACTACCTGTGTGAATCGAGAAATTTTGTTAACTTCCTTGAGCAACCGTTTCTTCGTTTTTAAGGTATAGGAATTAACTAATGACAAAATATGTTTAGAGCTTTTACTGTGGGACATAGTGCATGCTCAATGATACTTCTATTTCCTGTCCTGTCTCCTTCCCTCATTTTCTGTCAGCCACCATTGAGGAGGTAATGTATTTGAAATATGTTTCATAGCTCTTGTCAGTCAAGCAACTCAGGATGTTCATGGGTCATCCTTGTAGGTACCACCAAAGCCACAGAACTTACCACAAGAAGAAAACATTTCCCCAGTTACTACTTAACCATTCATCTAGTCATTGATACAACAGCAGTTTATAGAGTGCCTACTCTCTCTGTTCTATTGTTATTAGTTGCCTTTGAGTCAAACCTGGCTCGTGATGACTTTATGTATAAAAGAATGAAACATCGCCTGCTCCTGATTCTCCTGATTTTCCTGATCATTGGTGTTTGGGTCCATTGTCGTGGCCATTGGGTCAATCCGTACCATTGAGGGTCCTCCGT